CTAACGCTTTTGACCTTATTCGAGATTGTGTAATATTTCTTGAAATCGAAGTATGTAGGCCAAAGATCGAAAAGTTCATTCAGCCGCACTGACCGCAAGCGTCCTTGATAATGAGTTTGACATGTTCTGTCAAAACAATATGCTAACATACCTGATTTCACAGTTTCTTTACTATTGCATTTACAATCCAACAAAATATACCGTTGGAAAGCTCTTAAAAAGATCTATTTAATGAATTAAAAATTTTTAAAATCGGTCAAGAAATGAAAGAGAAATGACTTTTTACAAAAATCAAACGATATCCACCAAAGATCAAAGAGCACCGAAGAGCGCGGCCATCTGCAAATGTCCTTGATAATGAATTTGACATGTCCTGTCAAAATGAAGGTTTAACTTACCTGAGCTTATATTTTCTTTATTAGTGCACGTACAATACAAAGAAAGATACCGTTGGAAAGGTCTTGAAAAGATCTATTTGATGGTGCAAAAAAATTTGAAATCGGTCAATAAATAAAAGAGTTATGATTTTTTAAAAGAAAATTTCTAAGAGTACACTTGCACTCAAGTGTCCTAAACACACCTGAGCGTATATATCGTTTATTATTGTACTCAAACACAAAACAAATACATTTTTGGAAAGCTCTTGTCAAGATCTATCTGATGGTATAAAAAATTTTAAGATTGGAACAAAAAATTTTTTTGAAAAATTTAAATTTAAAATTGAAAAAAATTAAAACGTCTTCTTAAAATTTCAAAACTCAGGTGCACATGCCAGGATTACATTTAATCATTCCTGAAAATTTCAAATCTCTATTTTGCGTAGTTTTTTCAGAATAGGACATACCAGCATTGCAGCAAAACGTCAAAAATACGTCATATTTAACGAACGGAAGTGAATTGATAAAAAATATAAAAATATATTCAATAGAACATCATTCCCTATCATCTCTAAAAGTTTGACAAAAATCCACTCAACCGTCACTGAGATAATCGGTGTAGGAAAAAATATTACTAGCCCCCTTTTTTCCCCTAATACGTAATATATGACGTCAACAGTATAATGCATAGTTGAAGATTTTTAAGAGGAACATTTTTGTTTATGTAATTAATCACAAAATATCGATCGTTTAAGAGTTATATAACAAATTGTTTGGGGTCCTTTTTATCCCTAATTTGATGAGTCAGCACTTTTTCATTGACATCATTTGAAAGAACTTGACATTTTGCACAAATATTGTTCAGTATCTTTTAACAAAATGACTATACTTTTAAAGATATGATACAAAATGTCTCGAAAATTCACTCTTGATTTGTTTCCTAACTTTCAACCCTTGGCCGTTTCCATACTACACATTTTCGGAAAATTTGGAAACCTTGTTGCATCATGAGAACATGACCTCTATTATCACAGAAAATTCCAGCGCTCTAGCTTTAACCGTTTTTGAGTTCTATCGCAGACAAAGAGGTCCTCAAAATTTTGATTTAAGGGCGATAACTCTTGACCGGAAGTGATTTTCAAAAAAATGAAAAAAACGTATAAGGTTTAGATAAAGATACACCTTCTCTGAAATTTTCAAGTAAATCGGTCGAGCCATCTCCGAGAAATCTTCTGCACAAAAATTGTAAAGAAAAAAAAAGAATAATAAAAGTGAAAAAGAAACAATAGAATAATAGTAGGGTCTTCCGTTGAGACGGAAGACCCTAATAAGAAACAGAGTAAAAACAATATGTTCCCCAACTTCGTTTGGGGAACATAATAATAATAAGAAACAGAGTAAAAACAATATGTTCCCCAACTTCGTTTGGGGAACATAATAATAAGAAACAGAGTAAAAACAATATGTTCCCCAACTTCGTTTGGGGAACATAATAATAATAATAATAAGAAACCGAGTAAAAACAATATGTTCCCAAACTCCGTTTGGGGAACATAATTAACTGAAATATTTCTTTTCTTTGATGATCAAATTTTTTGCATGTTATTAAAAAATGAGTTTCATCATCTATGTTGTTATAATTACATCTATTACATAATCGATCTTCTCGAGGAATATTCATTTGGTAAATCTTCCCACTTCAATTTGTAATCTGTGACAGGAAATTCTTAATTTACATAGAGATTTTCTGTGATGAAAATTTTTAACAACTGATAAATAATTCTCATAACCCCAATTTTGTTTGAGTTTCACATATGTGGATAATTTGCCATCAGTATAACTTTTATGACTTGTATACCATTTCTTCACATAATAATCTAATGAAATTTTATGACAAAATGACTTAAATTTATATTTCCCATAACAAATAACTTCATCTTTAATATTCAGTAATTTTCTTAATTTCTGTATAAATGCAAACCATGAGTTCTTTCCATTCACAAAAAGCTTTTTACTACATTCATATGCATCTTTAAGTAAAGGAAATTCTATGGACAAATTTTCAAATCTATACCAACTTTTTATCAACAACCTGACAATATCATAATGCAGGGGGAACCTTCCCAATTCAGACAGTACTGCAAAATTTGTGCTTTTCTTATGAACGCCGAGAATATATTTACAGAATTTAAGGTGTATTCTTTCACAGGGTAGATTTTTAAAGCAGTCTTCAACTGTTAAATTTTGGCTGTTTAGGAATTTTTTTAGTATTTATATTACTTGCACCCCACACCTCTGCATTATACAAAAGAATTGGTTTAATGGTGGAGTCAAATACATGTATACTGGTTTTAATCCCAGGGTTCAAATCAATAAATTCCTTTCTTAACTTATAATATGCTTTTAATGCTTTTTTTTATATGAAGCTCTAATCTTGCTACATGAAAGCTTCCAGAAACACTTAGGTGGACTCCAAGATATTTGTAGCTAGGCACACATTCTAACATATTATTTTGAAACATTAGTTTTTGTGTAATATTACGACCAGCCTTATTAAAGATCATGACTTTTGTTTTTTGAATGTTTACCTTTAAACACCAATCAGAGCAATACTTTTCAAGTTTAGCGAGTCTTACTTGTATACCTTTAGCTGATGAGGATAAAATAACAATGTCATCTGCATACATTAAACAATTAACAGTTTGTGTCTGAAGCGATACTTCATCAATACATGAATCTAAATATGATGGAAAGTCGTTGATAAATATTTTAAATAGGGAGGGGCTCAAATTATCCCCTCCACACCTATAGCTATTTGAAATGGATCCGAGAAGAATCTCCCAATTTTCACACATGCTTAACTATTCTTATATATATTACTAATGATATTATAAAATTTTGATCCAACATTCATGTTAAGTAATTTTAGCTTTAATCCTGTATGTATAACACTATCAAAAGCTTTATGAAAGTCAACAAAACATGCATAGAGTCTTCCTTCTTTTGTGCTACAGTATTTATCAATTAGACATTTTAGAACAAATAGATGATCAGATGTTCTTGCATTTTTGGTAAAACCCATCTGAGATTGATGAATTAAATTATGTTCTTGAAGAAATTTATCTAGTCTAAAGTTCAGAACACTGTTGAATAACTTGCCAAGAGTGCTGATAATTGTGATACCCCAATAATTTGAAGGATTGTTTGGATCATCAGATTTAAAAATTGGACTTATGTACCCATTACTCCAAGCTTGAGGATAAAAACCATATGTGAAACAGCTATTAAAAAGTTTATGTATACAGGGAAGTAAATAAGATTGACTATGCTTTAACATTTCATTAGATATCAAATCAAGTCCCTTGGCTTTTCCATATTTTAAATTTGCTATTGCATCAACAATTTCTTTATTTGAAATCACATAATCCAATTCATTAAAGGATGGGTTATTCTCCATGTCAGCCAAAATTAAATCTATCTCTTGTATCCTAGCATTAAAAGAGTTATCACACACAGAGTGAAGATTGCGAAAATGATTAACCCATATTTCAGGATCTATGTTTGCTGCAGAATTATCTTTATTTATATAATCATCTTTTAGGTCATTGATTAATTTCCAATATTGTTTTGGTTGTTTATTTTGAAGTGCTTCAAGCTGATTTAGAATATGTATATAAAGGTAGACTCCAACGTATATAAAGGGCCCAGTGCAAGGGGTTCCTATAGACAGGTTGGGCACAGTTCCTTTTTCGGGGAAGTATTACTGTAAAAGGGAACTATTACTCTTTTCAGTAATAAAAACATTACTGAATTCGGGAATTTTCACTCGTTTAGCCTCTATTCTCGTGTTTGTTTTGAATAAAAGAAAAAGTGCAAGACTATTTTCACATCCTCTAAATATTTATTGTCTATTAAATGTATGTGTGCTCAAAAATGCAATATTCATTGCTGCAAAACGCTGAAAAAGCGTTCTGAAATATTTCGATGGCATAGATTTCTTATGGAAGCTTACCTGTGTTAAAATTGTGAGATTGAATACGTTCAACACTTGCTAACTCGTTCATAAGATTATTCGTTCTAATTTTATTTTATACTACTCCTGTAAAAGACATCGTAAAAATAATTTTTAATAGAATTGCTTCTTTTACAGATGAAAATAATTATTTGAAATATTAGATTTTAAACATTATTCTTTTAAAATGGTTTTAGAATGAATGCCCTTATTAGATTCCATACTTATAGTACCATTCATCAACAGGGAAAATAATTAAAACTCATCTTACTCTTATCTGCAGCACAGAAGGAGCGAATTTTTCGGTCAGCGAGGTTTGTTTGATAAAGATAAAACACATCACATCGTATTTTTTATGCACTTTTTATTTAATAAATGGATTTGAGGCATTATTTAAAAAATGTGACAAAAATTACCGAATTGAGTAATAATTTTATTACTGAAAAGAGTAATAGTTCCCTTTTACAGTAATACTTCCCCGAAAAAGGAACTGTGCCCAACCTGATAGACTGAACATTGGCCAAGTGGGCTCCAGTGGCCGGAACAGATTTATAAAATCATTTTCATGTGACCCAATAAATTACAATTACAGAGGACAAAGTTTGACTTAC